CACACACACACACACACACACACTAAATAAATTAACTAATTTTAAAAAAGAAAAGAAAAGGAGAGGGAAGAGAGGACAAGTGAAGAGAGGGGTGAAGAGGAGAAGATCACAAAAGCATCATCAGTTAGGCAGGACAGTAATAACTGCAGTAGGCTATACCCATGTGTTATGATTTGTGTCTAGTTGTCCCCCCAAAGCCTCATGCAGTCGTGGGGTGGCTTCTGGAGTTTCTGATTGATTACTGTGGGTGTGGATGCTGCACCTGCCCTGGGGCAGATCATTTGCATTATAATGTAAGGTGGGAAGAGAAGCTAGCGGCTTGAGCTGCTGCTACCCCTCCCTTGCTCTTGCTGTTTGCCACCACCAGGAAGGGCTGCCTTGGAGCCAACTGAGTATGGACTGAAACCTTCAGTAACTGTGAGCTAAATGAACCTTTCTTTCCTTCAATTTGGGTGTTGGGTATTTGTCCCAACAACGAGAGAAGAGTAACTAAGACAGAATTTAGTACTGCAGGAGTGGGGTCGTTGCTGTGCTTCAATCTGACCATGTGGATTACCAGCTTTTGGGAATGGCTTATGGGAAGAGATAGGAAAGGTTCAGAGATGTTGCCTGCTTGTGAAGAGCTGGAACAGCTTCAGTTCTTCTGTAAGGGAGATTCTGGTCAGAGCTCAGAAGACCAGAAGGCTGATAGAAAGCCTGCCTGTGGAGGCCAGGGAGATGGCCAAGTGGAATAAGCGCTTCCCTGGCAAGCACAAGGACCTGAGTTCAATCCCCAGTTCCACAAAAGAAAAGAAAGCCTGCTGGTGAAGACCAGGCTGGGGAGGTTTCTGCTGGGAAGAAGTGTTGCAGGCAGCTGAGTTAGATAGAAATATTATAGGCAGTCAGACAGGGTCAGGCTCTCGAAGGATACCACGGAAGACAAGATATCTTGCAACTCTGGCAGGGAGGGATGCTCCTGCCATGGGCCAGACCTAGAGACCAAAGATCAAACAAATGCCGAACTCCCTAAAGGTTGGCATCTGAGATTGATCATCACGCTGAGGGAGCCAGAAGAATCATTAATCCAACTACTACTGGATGGCTACCTGATAAAGTCCTGTTCTGCATTCATGCCCGCTTGCTTACGTGACTCGTTTCCCCATTTGGTCCTGGACTTAATCAACTTTACCTGAGCAATGGTGCTTGTAATCTCAT